TGGATGGGCCGCCTCTTACTTCCACTCCTGTTGTGATAACAAAGGACCAACAGTCACGGTGATAAAGAGCGGAAATTACATATTTGGAGGATATACCGAGCAGCCATGGCAATCGTCAAGTAAGAGGCCTTCCTGTCAGCCACATCAAACTCCTTTACTTCCCCTCCTAATATTTACTTTGCTTTTACAAGTTATTTACAGGAGCAAGAAGAGTTTTGTTTGGGAACTTGTAGTTTTTTCGTCTTTTCATTTTGAAGAAATGTAAAGATGATTCTGCCAAAAAAAAAGAAAAAACTTAAATCGGTCAGGAAATGCTACCTTTACAATCTATTAAGTTCTGCAAAAAATCCCAAATGAGAGCTCCTTGGCATATAGCTCAAACCTTATCTTAAGAAACTTCTAGTAAACTTTCTCCTTTCACAAATTCATGAAAAACTTATGGAAGATTCAATCAACCGCCCCTCCTTCGTTTCTTGTACAGAGATCCAGTTTGCTCACATTTTGAGGGATAAACCTTTTTGACTGACAGTTCAGTGGGAATATCAGGTTATAAAGGACACGCTAATGCCGTGAAAAGTGCATTACTGTTTTTATTGTTGGTGTTTGTTTTTGTTTTGTTTTAATTTTGTTGTTGTTTTTTTTTTTCGTTTGACAACGACTTTTATCGTATGGCAGGGATGCTTGTTGTATAGTTTTTAAGCGGATGTTATCATTTTTTTTTAACTCACATAGTCAAACCAGTCTTTGTCCTTGTTTTGTCCCTATTTGCTATTGAGAATTGTAATACAACCAATCTAACTCAGTAAATATCTTTTTGTCAGATACTGCATTGCACAAAAGAGCACCAGGTTCTTTCCTGTTCAGCCTTGCCAATGCCAGTGGCTTGCCACCAACAAAGATGCCTTTGATAGATGGTCAGGAAGGAAAAGCCATCTTTTGCTACAGTGGCAACGGTCCAGTATTTGGAGGTGGAAATGACCTTAACATTTGCTGCTCTCCAAATTCTTCCAACTGCTCTGTTAACCTTGGCAATACATACCAGTGCCCAGTAGGTCAGAATGGTCACTATTTTTTAACAGGAAGTCAATACTTCACTGTGAGTGAAATGGAAGTGTTTGTGTTCGAAAATTAAAGACATTGTTGTCATTTTTTTTCTTCCTGATAAGACTAAAACTGATTCTGTAAACGTTTGCCATTGACTAGTTTCCTCTTAGTCATGTTGTTGATAGAGAGTGTTGTTACTGATATATGAATGGAGGTGTAAGAGCCTTTAGAAACTCTGGTGCTGTGCTGATTTGGTTCGTGAAAGATTGTTACTTGCTTCTGATTTTCAAGAATTGTCTATTAGTCATTTAAGTGAGTTGTTGTTACTTGATCAAGACTGAGTTATTAAAACTAACGTTTGCGAAGACTGTTTCTGACTGGAGATCTGTGAAGATATTAACCGGGTGGTGGATTAACAAGCATAATCAAAACTACAACAACATTTTTGAACATGATTGGTTATCACCAGTCCAATTTGAGCACTAACAGGATAGTGTACGTGTCATGCTTGTAATTGAACAGTGTGCTGGGACAATTTAACGCTAAGCCTGTGCTAGTAGACGGTACGCGTCATGTGCGCGCTGCTGTCGCACATTTCGCCGAGTTAAACTATTTTTTTTTTTAATGAAACACATAACCATGTCCAGTTCCTTTCTCAAATTTTGTCATAGTTTTGATAAATTTGTAACAAGACTTCGTGTCGCCCAATTCTATATGTTATCATACTCGTCATACACGAACAAATCGGACTACCACGATTTTGTCAATAACTCGTATGATTACAGACCCAATTGAACTCCACTCAGTCCTATTACCATTATAAATCAAATACAGGTTGTTCATATAAAAAGCACGATAAAAGCGCAAGAGGTTCTTAACACAGGCGTTCAGTCAATAAAACAAAGTGCTTTGGTAAACGGTGGAATAGTAGCGGAGGAGTGGAAAAACGAGGGAGATCTGGAACGGGTCGGATAAAGAACGAACGACACGACCCAGACCTCCCTCCCATCTTAGCTCCATTTTACCAATAGGATGCCTGGAACAGGCTAATGGAAAAGGTGCGTAAGTGATGTTTCTTTTCATTGGGGAAGAGGAGGGTGTGGGAGGTAATGGGCCAGAGTCAGCGCAGTGTGGGAATTTATGAGCATGGCTACGTTGTTTACTTGTGAGAAATTTTCAACTTAAACAAAGGAAGAAGTTTCGGTCAAACCTAAATTAGGTTTCGTCTTAATAAAAAGGCTGCTATCAGCTATCACAAGTAGCAGACAAAACAATTGCGAGAACCTTAACCTTTTTTTTGCCGAAGAAAATGTTGTAAGTTTCTGGTTTCCTAGAAAGTCGCTTTTACTACCTTAATGTAAAACAACAAAGTGCTAAAAGGACGCATTATCCCGAAATAGCCAAAAAAAAAAGTTTAAACTGTGTAGTTTCATCATAACATAAAGAGAAGAAAATTTCCTCGTAGGCATCTATCCTGAGTTATGACCTGCTCATCAGACAAATTATATTCATTTGAACGCAACAGCTTCCTTGTAGTAGACTTGTCTCTCCTGCATAGAAATGTTAATTTATTACTTAGAACACTGATTTATTTTAGAAATTTTCTCGGAAAAGATACCCTCACTAACGCCGCGGTACAGTTTCTTTAGAAATTTAACCCAATTACCTAAGGCAGAATTTGGTTTAACTGTTCTGTCTCGAAGACACCACATTCCCACCACTAGCGAAGCTTATTTTCTGCATATAAGCAAACACCCAACCCACAATTCCTCCAATCACTCTGACGAAGGGCTGACGATCGAAACGTTAGCTTTTAAACTCTCCACGGTGGCCAATTTACGTTATCAACTCAGTTGATAATA